CTGTACTTGTTTACCCCCTGGTTTCAGTTGTTTGGGGCTCTGCCTCTGGGAGTGAAAGTATTGGGTCTTAGAGCAGTTCTATGTCCCACATCTTGAGGAACTACCGACCATTTTCCACAGCAGCTGCATCGTTTTACGTTCCCACCAGCTGCGTGCAGGGGTCCGGTTTCTCCCTGTCCTCAAAGACCACTTGCTGGTTTCTTCCCTCCCTTCCCCTCTTTCTCTCTCTCCCCTCCCTCCCTCTCCCCACCTCCTCTCTTTCCCTCACTTATTCCCTCCCTTCCTCCCCCTGTCTTTTCCTTCCTTCACTCTCTTCTCTCTTCCCTCCCTCTCTCTTTTCCTTCCTCTCCCTCCCTTCCTTCTTTCCTTCCCTGCTTTTTCTCTCCCCCCCTCTCCTCTCCCCTCCCACAAGCCATCCTTGTGGGTGTGAAGTGATACAGCGCAGTTCTGATTTGCATTTATGTTATGACAAGGATACATCTTTCCATGAACTAGTGGCCATTTGTATATCTTCAGAGAAATGTCTGTTCAAGTCCTTTTCTCGTTTTAATTTCAGGTTGTCTTTTTGTTGTTGAGTTGTAAGTCTTATGTATATATTCTGGATATTAAATCATTACCAAGTATGTGTTTCACAGATTTTTTTTCCATTCTGTAAGCTGTCTTTTCACTTTCTGCTTATGCTTCTGGTGTCACATCTGAGAATCCATTGCCAATTGCATGGTCACGACAATTTATTCCTATGTTTTCTTTTAAACTTTTTGTGGTTTTTAGTTCTTATATTTAGGTTGTCGACTCGTCTTTTTAAAAAGGATTTATTTATTTTAGAGAGAGAGAGCACGAGCAGGAGGGGCAGAGGGAGAGGGAGAGAGAATCCCAAACAGACTCTGGGCCCTCATCAGGGCCTGATGAGGGATGAGGGCGTGTGGGTGGTGGGCTCAGTCTCATGCCCCTGAGATCATGTCCTGAGCCCACATCAAGAGTCAGACTCTTAACCACCTGAACCACTCAGGTTCTCTAGTTTTTCACTCATTTTGAGTTAATTTTTGGGTATGGTCTGAGTTAGGAGTTCAACCTCATTCTTTCGCTTGTGGAAATCAGTTGTCCCAGAACCATATGTTGGAGAGACTATTCTTTCCCCTTTGAATTTTTTTTTATTTGTTTATTTTCTTTAGTAATCTCTATACCCAACGTGAGGTTTGAACTCACAACCCCGAGATGGAGAGTTGCACACTCTTCTGACTGTCCAGGTGCCCCTCCGCCACCACAATGGTCTTGATATTGTCATAGAAAATCTATTGGCCATAGATGTATGGGTTTGTTTTGGGACTCTTCATTCTGTTCCATTGGTCTAGATGTCTGTCTTTATGCCAGTACCACACTATTTTGACTGTAGTTTCACATTAAGTTTTGAAATTGGGAAGTGTGAGTCCTCCAACTTTGTTCTTTCTTAAAGATTGTTTTGGCTTGCAGTTCCCTTGCAGTTCCATTATCTGTATATTGCTTCAGGGCATAGGGCCACCTTACCAACAGAAAGTCTTCCAACTCACCAGCTCAGGATGGCTTGCACTTATTTAGGTCTTCATTAATTACTTTCAGCAATGTTTTGTGCACCAGCATTGCACAGGTCTTTTACCTCCTTGGTTAAATTTAATCCTAAATATTTTGCTTATTTGGATGCTATTGTAAATGGAATTGTTTTCTTTTTTCTTTTCTTTTTTTTTTTTTAAGATTTTATTTGAGTGAGAGAGAGAGAGAACATGAGCACACCAACAGGGGGAGTAGCAGAGGGAGAGGGAGATGGAGAAGCAGGCTCCCCACTAAGCAGGGAGCACAATGAGGGGGCTCGATCCCAGGACCTTGAGATCATGACCTGAGCTGAAGGCAGATGCTTAACCTACTGAGCCACCCAGGTACCCCTGGAATTGCTTTCTTTTCTTTTTTTTTTTTTTTTTTTTTTTAAGATTTTTATTTATTTATTTGATAGAGAGAGATCACAAGTAGGCAGAGAGGTAGGCAGAGAGAGAGGGGAAAGCAGGCTCCCTGCTGAGCAGAGAGCCCAATGTGGGGATCGATCCCAGGACCCTAGGATCATGACCTGAGCTGAAAGCAGAGGCTTTAACCCACTGAGCCACCCAGGCGCCCCTGGAATTGCTTTCTTAATTTCCTTTTCAGATTGTTCATTGTTGGTGCACAGAAGTACAACTAATTGATCTTGTATCCTACAATTTTGCTTAACTTGTTTATTACTCCTATTAGGGTTTTTTGTATGTGTGGGTTCTTTAGGATTTCCTGTACACAGGTATCTCTTGCTTTTTGAAAGTTCACGTTATACCACTTTCCTTCTGCAAAAGACCTATATTAGATCTACACTAATTCCTATTTTCACTAACTGGAAGAAACCCAAGGAGGAGTTTTGCTTTTAGGAGAAAAGGTGAAAAGTAAAAATAGCATTCAGCGTTTGTTTTGCAGAGAGCTGTTAAAGGGGCAGCTTGTACCCTGAGCAGTGGCAGTGGCACTGCCAGGCTTCTTTGGTAAGAACTACGCTCAGCACCTCAGCATCAAAGCCACCATAGCTTTGAACTATGTCTGTGAGCATCTGAGCTTTGTGTTGATTTATTTTGTGTATCCATTAGCAAGATGTATCCTAAGCTACCCAGAAAAGCCTAAGAGAAGTTATTTCATGGGTCTAGGAATGCTCAAAAATGTGTCCATATAAATTAATGGTAATTGCTTCTTTGCTTTATGCCATTTCAACTTAAAAAAAGGTTTCGTAAGAACTTCTCTACTTTTGGATAGCAGGGAAGCCTGTATAGGATCATGCCGTCTATGATTAGAGATGATTTTATCTCTTCGTTTCCAATTTGGATGGCTTTTATTTCTTTTTCTTGTCTAATTGCTTTGGCTAGGACCTTCAGAACAATGTTGAATAGCAGTGGTGAAAGTGAGCATCCTTGTCTTGTTCCTGATCTTAGGGGGAAAGCTTCCAGTTTTTCACCCCTGAGTATGTATCAGCTGTAGGTTTTTCATAATTATGCATTATTACACTGAAGTTCCTTTCTTTTCCTATTTTTCTGTTTTTTATCATGAAAGGGTGTTGTATTTTGCCAAATGCTTTTTTTGGTGTTAATTGAAGTGATCATGTGGTTTTCCTCTTTGTTCAATGAATGTTCAATGAACATTGATGGATGTTGAACCACCCTTGACTGACTTTCCTTTAAAAAGAAACTTGATGGCTTTAAAAGAAAAAAAACTCTCCTGGTCCTAGGTATAACTGGAAAATACCCTTGACAACATTTTGGAAATTCTGTTGTGCAAAGTCTGCAGGAATTATTCAGATTACACTGTTCTAGGAAAACTTGAGAACTTTTCCACTTCCCTTATGAATATGATGTTAAGGGATGCCTGGGTGGCTCAGTGGGTTAAGCTTCTGCCTTCAGCCCGGGTCATGATCTCAGGGTCCTGGGATTGAGCCCCACATCGGGCTCTCTGCTCAGCAGGGAGCCTGCTTCCCCACTCTCTGTGCCTGCCTCTCTGCCTAATTGTGATCTCTCTCTCTCTCTGCAAATAAATAAATAAAATCTTTTAAAAAAAGAATATGATGTTGAAATTTAAAAAGAAAAAACCTTTTATTTATTTATTTATTTTTAAAAAATGTTTTATTTATTTATTTATTTATTTGACAGAGAGAGAGAGAGATATCACAAGTAGGTAGAGAGGCAGGTGGGTGGGGTGGGGGGAGGAAGCAGGCTCCCCGCAGAGCAGAGAGCCCAATTCGGGGCTCGATCCCAGGACCCTGAGATCATGACCTGAGCCAAAGGCAGAGGCTTGACCCACTGAGCCACCCAGGCACCCCAAGTAAGAACCTGTTAGATACTAAATTGATATGCTTGAGCTTTGTGGTCTAGCCTTTTATTTATTTTTTAATATTTCTGTATCCCTGTGGTAAAATTTGTTCTGAAATTTCAACATGTTCATTTGTGTTTTTGTTTGCTTCTTAACAATATTTACTTCTGGGGCTCTTGGGTGGCTCAGTCAGTTAACTGCCTGCCTTTGGCTCAGGTCATGATCCCTGAATCTGGGGATCAAGTCCCACATCGGACTCCCTGCTCAGCAGGGAGTCTGCTTTTCCCTCTGCTCTCTCTCCCACTCATGTTCTCTCTCTCAAATAAATAAAATCTTTAAAAAAAAACAATATTTACATCAAATAACAATGATCTACTCATTAGTAGGCAGAGTTAGTGTGCCAGGAAGAGGCATGGGTAAGAAATCAGAATATCTGGATTCATGTCTTCGGCAAAATGAATTTCTATCTGTTATTAAGCTCTCGCTTTAAAAAAAAAATTTATTTGAGAGGGAGAGAGAGAGCATACGCAGGAGCAGGGGGAGAAACAGAGGGAGAAGGAGTAGCAGATTCCCCACTGATCAGGGAACCTGACATGGGGCTCCATCCTAGGATCCCGGGATCATGACCTAAGCCGAAGGCAGCTGCTTAACCAACTGAGCCACCCAGACATCCCTCCATTTCTTTCTTTCTTTTTTTTTTTTCACAACTTAAATAATCACCTTTTGTTTCTCCTTTTTTTCCTCTATTTTTGTTTTGTTTCTCCTTTTGTTTCTCCATTTTTGTTTCTCCATTTTTCAGTTAATGGGCATTTGGACTGTTTCTACTTTTTGGGTGTTATGAGTCTGTAACAAGAGCCCTTTAAGAGGTGTGATCTGTTTCTCTCTTCCATGCATGTTTCTGATTCATGGTGAGCATGTGTTCATGTACCTAAATTAGAGATGAGAGGCTGACATCCCGAGGCGTTCAGGAATGTGCCCAGGACCGCGGAGCACATTGTGGGCAGAGCCGTTTTGCCCACTGCCTTTGGCCTCTGACCCTCTCAGCTGAATGCACAGAACCCCAGCTGCTTCTCACCCCATGAGCCCCTTGAAGATGGAAATAACTCAATTTCGTAGACTCTGAAATGTCTTTTCCTTTTTCCTTGCAGGTTTTCTGAATGATATTGCTTCTTTTTCTATCTTGTTTGATTTTCTCCTGCTTGACCCTTTCCTGGTTAAAAATCTGGGGGAAAATGACTGACTCTATGCAAGTCACCAAGAGTAAATCAGAAGGGAGCTGTATCCCAAGCCAGGAGCCCTTTCCAGCCTCAGACAGCTCAGGGGAGCCACCCCAGAAAAACAGTGACTGCAGCCCTCTGCCAGAGACTCCTAACCAGGCCAAGCCAGCCTCCCACAAAGGTCCCAAAGATGCCTGTCAGCAGAGAACTTCCAAGCCACCCCCACACCAGAATCCCCCAGGAAACCCCCATACCTCGGATAACAACCCTGCAGCACTCCAAGCCAATGGGACGGGGACCGAAGGCCTGAAGACCCTGGATACCAGTGGCCCGCCATCTCCAGCCAAGCCCCAGGGCCAGCGAGCCAGACCCTTCTCCAAAGAAGACGAGAAGCAAGAGCACATTAAGAGGCAGCTGATGACCAACTTCATCCTGGGCTCCTTTGATGACAACTCCTCTGATGAGGACCCTGGCGCTGGCTTGTTCCGAGAGTCTTCCCGGAAGGGCAGCCGGGCCAGCCTGGGGACCGTGTCCCTGGAGGCCGCTCCGACTGTAGGCGAGTCCGAGAACCCCGTCTCCGCTATGAGGTAACGTGCCCTGGGTCCTCATGAGGGGGGAGTGCAGAGTTAGGGTGAGGGCTGCCCCCTTCCCCGCTCAGTCAAGCTGTCCGCTCATACCCACGTGTCGAGGGTAGTTATGGAAAATGCAGGAAACGTAAATCTTGCCGTTTTCCTTCCTTCTTTTCAAAATTATTTATTGAGCATCTTACTGCATCTACAGGGCCCTATGCCGGGAGACTGTCCTTTTAGAAGGACTTGGCCTGGTCGGGGAAGACAGCCTTGTATGTGATTTGTTAGAATTTAAACTGAGTGAGCTAGGGCTGATAAGAGCCACACGGGACAGTGGGGGCCTGGAGGGAGGGCCAGTTTCCCTGCCTCCTGACGAGACAGTCATGTATTTGTTCGCTAGTTCTTTCAATGGGTAACTAACAACTGAAATCCATGCCTTCCCCTAGGGGTGCCTTCAGAGCAGAAACTCAGGTATGTTTGCTGGAAACCAGTGCCCATAGGTCCCTGCTGGTGGGAGTGTGTCCTAGGTGTGCAGTTCTTGGCTTTGTTTGTTTGTTTTTGTAGTCGTGTTCAAGCTTTGCCACCTCCCTTCCCCAATTACAAACAGAATACAGTAGTTCCAGGTGGGAAATGCAGGGAACAGACAAGCAGGGAAAAGAGCCGCCAACCATCACTCTGCAGGTCAGAGAGCTCTCTGCCCCCCTTCCAGGGTTTCTTCTCTCCTCCTGGTCTGTTCCCTCCACTAGGGGTACAATCTCACTGGCTGTTCCTTTCAGCACCTCTTGTACTCTCTCTCCCAAATGCGAAAAGCTTTATGAGGAGGTGGCTTCTTCCATTCAGGCACCCATGTTCCCAGGGAGCTTAAGTTGAGCCCTGGTGACTGGAAGTAGAAGGTAGAGAAAAGAAAAAAGTCAAGTATTCCCCATCCTGGTGATCTCCAGGGTGAAACTAGTTTGAGGTTCTGGAAGGGTTCAAGGAAGGGAAAGCTTCAGGGTCTGGTATAAAGTTCAACCTTGGCTCTGCCGCCCTCCACCCCCTACTGTGTGACCTTGGGCGTGGCATTCCCTTCTCCCTGCCTCAGCTCCTCATCTGGAAAATGCTCACAGGATTCAATGGGATAATGTTTGTGAAGTATGCACAGGGTTGGGTACACAGTAGGTACTTAATAAGTGGTAGATTCCCCTACAGCTCCCTTCCTTGGCTTGTTCTTTTTCCCCCACCCCCAGCACCCACTTCACCCATCACTTTCACATTTATATCAACTATCCACTGATCCCTTAGAACAACAGTACAAGGCTGGTGGCGGTGCGTCCCTATTTTACAGATGATAAAACTGGGACTCAAAGGTGAAGTGCCTTCCCAAGATCACACAGCTGGGAGGCAGCAGAGCGAAGCTTCGAGGCCAGGTTCTCCAGACTGCAGACGGGGTTCCACTGTGCCTTGGTGTGGTCCCTCCAGTGTTCGCCAGCATTCGCGTTCCTCTGAACTGGTTCTTAACTTTCAACATGGCAATTTCGATAGGGATTAGGGAAAAGTAAGTGAAATGAATTCCCCCAAATTGACAAACATCCAAGATTATGTTAGAAGTGGATGTCCGACCCCGGGTTGCTAAGTGGTATCTAAGTAGGCCAGGTGGGCGAGATACATTTATCACAACAGCCCCAGCGGAAAGCAAGATGGATACATTGCTACTTTCAAGGAGCATCCCAGCAGGGAGATGGGAAAAGTACAAATAAACAGGTTAACTGATGATCTCTCAGTGTGACCAATGCCAGGAGGAAGACAGGTTACAGGAGAAGGGGCCCCTGAGGGGATCTATTTTAGAATGAGGTGGTCAGGTCAGTAGAGAGCTCTCCGAAGAGGCAACTTTCAGATTAGACTTGAGCAGGCCAACAGAACTTTCTGCCATGATGGAATGTTCTAGGACTGTGCTGTCCAGTATGGTAGCCTTTAGTCACCTGTGACTATGGAGATTGACCTGTGGCTAGTGTGATGGAAGAAGTGAACTGAAAAATTTAATTTTAATTACTTAAAATTTAAGTAGTGTCATGGGTCTGCTGGCTATTACAACAGCACAGCTCACTGTCTTCCACCACCATTTTTAGGGGTCTTTGCTGGTTTGTGCTTAAACCACAGCTTTTCTGAGCTGGTGAATTTATGAAGGCAAAGGATCCTTAACTAAGTAAGGACCTATCTTTGCATGACAGCAAGCCAAAATATTAAATGAGTTTTCTGCCTTTGTATCTTCATTATGTAGAATCTTAGCACTATAGGTAAATCATTTATCATGCCTTATCCCAGGACTGGGGGGAAGGGGGTTCAGAGAGATCTTGGTTTTCTATAAACTGTGGGGTGGTGGGAGATGCAAAGGGCTATAGGAGGGCACAAAGAGGACACTGCGCTGTGTGACCTTAGGTGGGACCCTTACCCTCTCTGAACCTCTACTTCCTCATCTCCAACATGAGGAGGCTGGAGCAGCCCCCTGAAGTGTGACACAAATCTCACTGGGCCTACGGTTATTTTGCCCCCAATCGATGTGCTTTTCAGAGTCTGGAATTGAGGATTTTGGCACCTAGGACAACTCAGGTAGTTCTGCTGGTGCCTCCCAAGATACTGGCATTTCTGTGAGGAATGTTGCAGGCTCCAGCAGGGGCCCCAAATGAGGGGCCTCTGATGAAGGAGACCAGCAGGGGTTCGTTGTTCCTAATGACCTGGGATGAGAATCCCATGGGGCGGTATCTTCAGGGAATCAAGGCTTAGACCCTTGTCCTGGTGCTGCTGTCTCTGGTGGTTGGTTGGATAAAAAAGTTGATGTCATAACCTGTGTGTTCCTGCCTGTTGGAAGCAGTGATATCAGAATGAAGGTGAGGGTTCCATCATCCTCTTGTAGAGTTTTTGCCTCTGATGTTTTTGCATCTTTGGGACCCTCAGTAGCCTGGTGTTTGGCAGCCCCCACCTTGACCCTTTTGCTCACATCCATTGGTAGTGTCTTGGGTCAACTCTGAAGAAATGTTCAGGGGGACCTCCCAATCCCCCTCAAACCCTCCAGAGTGTTGCTTTGCGGAGAGCCACTGCTGGGCTTTTCCCCTTATACAGGATGGAAATGCCTCTTCCCTGGGGCTCACAGGTCAAAAGCCCAGCCTACTTTTAGATGTGGGCAGGTAACTTGCAATCATCTGGAGGCTTGAGGGAATGAAGCCTGATATAGAAGACCAATGTGGTGATAAAGCATCCCTGTTAGATTCCCGAAGGCTCCCTGTATTATTATTTTTTTCTGATCAGCTGCTAAATAACCTGCACTCTTGGGCACATCGCCTAACTTTTGGGGGCTCAGTTTCTGCAATATGGTGGCTGGGAGTGGGGGTTTCAACTAGTTCTTGCAGCCCTTCCCATGTCACAGACAGAGCTGAGACCTGGGGGGGGGTGTTATTCCAGGGGTCTGCACTCACGTGGAAGCCACAGCAAAGCAGTGGCAGAGGTATGTCTGTGGATTCTCCTGCTGCAGGCAGGTTCTACAGAGCCACTTGGTCTCCGTGTCACCTCAAGGTCACCTTGTGGTCCATGCTGCTTCCTGCCAGGCCACGAGCCAGGCAGCTGGATAGAAAAAGTGCCTGTTTACTTCTGTGGCTTGGAGGGAGCTCTTTTTGAATGCTCTTCAACAGGTCCTTTGTCTCCCCCCTGTGCTATCACGTTTCCAGAATACTTACACTTGCATCCCCATTCTGGGCCTTTGTGTCTGCTGGTCCCTCTGAACTGAGATGCTCACTTTCTCCTTCATGCCCTTAAACCTCCCCCTAGGGCCTGCATCCAGGTGTGTGACCTGTGTGGTCAGCTCTGCTGTCACCCTCTTGAAATTCTTATTAACTTTCGAACAAGGGCCTCTACATTTTCATTTTGCACTGGAGTCCACACATTCTGTAGCCCATCCTGCCTGCCCTTCAAAGTCACCTCCTCTGAAGGGCCTTCCCTGTCCTTTGCCATCTTTATTTTTTTTAATTTCTATTATTTTTTAAAGATTTTATTTATCTGAGAGAGAAAATGAAAGAGTGGGCACATGAGCAGGGGGAGGGATAGAGGGAAAGGGAGAAGCAGACTCCCAACTAAGCTGGGAGCCCAACTCGGGGCTTGATCCCAGGACCCTGAGATCATGACCTAAGCCAAAGGCAGACACTCAACTGACTGAGCCACTCAGGTCCCCCCTATGCCATCTTTAAAGTATTCCCTACACGGCCCTGTTTCTTGATTGATTGCTCTGGTGTGTTTTCACAATACTTAATCACTCCTGGAGATTGTGGCTTAAATTTCCTTATGTGTTGACTTGGTTGTTACCTATCTCCTACATTGGCTGACAAACTCTGTGAAAATGGGGACCATATGGGTCTCTGCTTTTCCCCACCTCCTAATCTAGTGTGGGTTCATGGTAAATGCTGCATAAATAAATGCATGAAGCAGTGAGCAACCCAGGCTTGCCAAAGACAGAATTCTGCATTCCTGGGGGGATGCAAAACACTTTATGATTGATCTAGGAATGAATGAGTGAATGAACAGATGGATGGATGTATGAACAAATGAATGGATGGATGGATGAATGAATGAATTAACAAATGGATGCATCAATGGATGGATGAAGGAAGGAAGGAAAGGAACAAGTGGATGAATGGATGGATGGATGCACAAACAAATGGGTGTATGGAAGAATAGATGAATGGGTATGGATGAATGCACAAATTAATAGATGAATGAATGAATGAGTAGATGGATGGATGGATGGTTGGATGGATGGGTGGATGGATGGATGGATGGGTGGGTGAATGGATGGATGAATGATGGATGGATGGATGGGTGGGTGGGTGGGTGAATGGATGGATGGATGGGTGGATGGATGGATGGATGGATCATGAACAGATGGATGGATGGGTGGATGGATGGATGAATGGATGGATGGATGGGTGGGTGGGTAGTTGGATGGATGGATGGATGGATGGATGGATGGATGGATGGATGGATAGGCATTTTAT